TATATATATATATATATATATACCTGATAGCATTGTGCTCGCCGCGAGACGAATTGCGAATATTGCCAGATACTCTCGCCGACCTTTCCAATTTGTATCGTAACCTTTAGAGAGGAGAGGCTTCGGCGAAGGGAGCCGATGGAATCGACAAACAATTCCGAGGAATTGTAAAGAGAGGGTATGATATCGTTAGAACAATTGAAAGTTTCAAGCTAGTGAATTAGCCGAACGGATGGCCTCGAAATTTTCTATCTTCGCGAAGAAAGATTTTGTAATTCGATGTGATTGATGGTACGAAAATATATATGTATATATATATCGTATTATAATATAATATATAAATACTTGAAATTTGTGAACAAAATATTTTGTACCATAGTTTCTGTAATCTTATATAGTATCAATAGAAAATTGCCTTCGAAAATGTTGTATTTAAACAGAGATCCAAGAATAATACTCTAAATTGATTTCGATAAGCGCGTAAATACACTGCGATCCTCGTTAAATCGTAAAATTGAATCAATTACGACATTCATCGTAATGATACGCGGTTTCTTTCCCCGCTCGCTTTCATAAATCCAAACCGCGCGAGAAACAAAAGCACGCTCGAAACGTGCTCTTAACAATCGTATCGCTCGACGAACGATAACTTCTTCTCTCAAACGATACATATAACTTGGAAAAAAGGAAAAAGAAATCTCCAAAATCGTTTGCAAAATACGAAAAGAAAGAAAGAAAAAACTGAAGAGAAAACGAACGAGAAAGAATTATTACCATCAAAGAAAATCCACCAAGGTAAATGGTAAAAATGAAAGAGATGAAAAAAAAAAGAAAAAAGAAAAAAACCAAATGAAACAAACCTTGCTTAATGACGATGCCAGGGGGCACTTGGACAATCGGTAGGGCGGCGTTCGAGGGATTAACAGGGATGCTGGCCGGTGTTCCAGGCGGTGGCGATGCGCTGGCGCTACCAACGGAACCTGGATCGCTGAATCCTTGAGTGCTGTTCTCCTCCGGGCCGTCGAAGAAGCTCAAATTGAACTCACTGCCGGCGTCGAACGACACTTCCGGTGTAAGGGTGTCTGGCGCCGGGGCGCTACCCAGACCCGCGCTCAGCGACTGGTCGATTTTGAAAACGTCCATTGTACGAAGAGGAAATGGTGATGATGATGGCGATCGCGCACCTCGCTACCAACTGCGGTCACCATTCGCGTACTCGACTCTCTACGTGATTCGATTCGCGTCCGGCTCTGATCACTTTCTTTCGTTTATTCAGATGCCTCTCCTCCCTCGTCCGTCTTTTTCTCTAATTCTTCTCTTCCCTTAATATCTATCTTGTTTCTTTCCTTTTTTTATTTTTATCTCTCACCGTTTCTCGAAAGATATCGAGGAGGGAGGGATATTCGATGCAACAGCGATCCTCGTTTCCTTTGAATCGTGAGTTCGACGTGAGTTTAAATCTTAATCTAACTCGTTTGAATCGTGTAAAACCGGGACTGGGAGAAAGTTGCGAAAGCGATCGAGAAACGAAACGAACACGCGGCAGCGTGAAAAGAGAAAGAAAAAAAAAAGGAACAGTCTTGGAAAAAAAGAAAAGGGTTCACGACGCGTACTCACTTTCCGTAACACGATGGTTCACACTAATTTACCGACGACGAAGCGGCACACATCCACATCGAATTCCTCGTGGAATCGGGTTCAATTCGAAAACTTTTCGATCTCCACTCGATTTAACTTCTCGGCGAGTCCGTGTTCCCCGAAACTTCACGAGCAAATTCTCGGCCGCATCCTGCTTTCCCACGAATCGATCCACGGGCGATCGTAACTCGGCGGCGACGAGGACGAGGGATACCACGACGACGACGACGACGACGACGAAGGAGGCCACGATATCGAAGAAGAGGACGATGACGAGGAGGATGAAGAAGCGTCCGCAAGAAAATCGGCGGTGCTACGGTTGCGCGAAAGCATTCCTCTCCGAGCGGTTCTCAACGCCGACGAGGTCAGTGGCCGTTACCTCCTCAGGCCAGATTCTCAATGAAGCTGCCCGCAGCCGACTGACGAACAATTTTGGCACATCCACGGCCAGCGGCCACCGGAGCGCCGTTTTATCTGTTAATCTCTCGCCTTCAAAAGCGACTTCGAACACATTAGGCGTTGCTCCCGTTCATACGATTCTCGTTATTCTCCAGACGCTGCCGGCCGGGGGCAATGCTTTTCGGTAGCCTTGAGCAGCCTATTATTCAATCTGATACGATTACGCGCGGATGCTTTATGAAGCTCACCGTGACACGTTTCTATTTTCACCCGATCCTTATCGACGGACGGACGGCGTGGAATCGTGTCGCGATGAATTTCCAACTGTGCCTCGGTATATATATATATTATATATATATATATATATATGGATGGAAAAAAGGAAGGATCCAACGATGGAATTTGTTTTATTCACGCATGCTCCTCTCTTCTTCCAATTCGTCGTGATTTTCGTGATTTTTCCTCGCAACAGGCTATTCCTTTCACATCCTTGGACTGTTGGAGGGAATATGATCGATAATGGTGGCACGCGTCGCGGTGTTGGTCTGCATCGAAAGAAAACGCGAAATCGAAAGAATTGGGAAGAGGAGGTGGTGGATACACGTTCGTTAATAAGCGTTGGGAACACGGAAGTCGAAGAACGGATGTTGACGGATCGAGAGAAGAACCGCGTTGCACGGATTTAATTGGAAAGGTTATGAGACTTACTTCATATTTCTTTCTTTTTTCTTTTCTTTCTCCCTCGAAAGAACACGCGAGAACACCTGGTCGCCGATTACGTGACGAACAAACGTGAAAAAAAAAGAAGGAAAGAAATCCACACTTCACTGGCACACCGTGTCACAACAGCATGAGAAGACCCTTCTCATTAACTATCTCGCCTGAGGGCTGCGAAAATCCGTGGAAATCCCGATCTTCGAAAGGGTTCAGCATTGTTCGAGAAGACGCGTGGTGTCGTCTTCGTGCGAGGGTATGTTCTCATCGACATCGTTATCCTCCCTTCTAGTTTTCCTCTCTCACTTTCTTCGAATCTTCGAAAAAAAAAAAAAAACGATGCGAGGATTCAACCCATTATTTTTCTTTTTTTTTTTTAATTATTATACGAGATCGAGAGATCGGTCGCTCCTTTCCCTTCCTTCTTCGATCCTTCCTCTCTCTTCGCCTCTCTGATCTTTTCGTTCGTTGTCACTTTTATTTACAACCGTGTATACGTATATATATATATATATTTTTTCCTCTTCTTCTCTTTTATCCCTTGCTCGTTCTCTCTCTCTCTCTCTCTCTTTCGTTTTTCTTTTTAATCGGCCCCCTTCACAATGGAACGTTCTAAGGGGAAAACTTTTTTCGGGTAACGCAAGCACGGCCTTTTCCGCCGATTTTCAGTGGATCCGTGGTCCCCTGGCTTTTCGCGTGATCCATCGCTGAAAAGACAAAATCAAAACGAAACGAAAATCAGAAAAAACTAAAAGGGCGTGAACGTCGTTGTTTCGAAGAAGCGCGTCCGACAAAAGAGGAAACTTCGTTCCATTCTGTTGTTTCCTCTCTCTGGCCACTGTGTATAAATATAAACTGCGAAGTTCGAGCATGCGCGATCGATCGTTCTACCTTACTAGATCCCCAAGGTGTTTGTCTTTGCGAACGCGCGAATCGTCACGGATATTCCGAAGGAACGCGGAGGAACGCTTCCGTCGAACGGTGATCTTAAAAACTTATTTACACGAAAACGCGAAGGCGCGAAACGAAGCAAGCCGTTTGGATCGTTTGGTCCAAAAAAAAAAAAAAAAAAAAAAAAAAAAAAAAAAAAAAAAAAAAAAAAAAAGGAAATCGAATCGATCGAATTCGTTCTTTTTGATCGATCGATTCGATCGTTTTAATCGTCGTTCGCCGAATATCAAAGGTTTTTTCGCTATATTCTTNCTCCTCCTCCTCCTCCTCCTCCTCCTCCTCCTCCTTCTCTTCTTCTTTTTCCTCTTCTTCCTTTTCTTCTTCTTTTATTCTCTTCTCGAGGACGTTTTCCGCAAGTGGTAACGGCAAAAGAAAGAGCGAAAAAGTGAAAAAGAGAGAAAGAAAAGTGAATGATGAGAGGCAGGCGAGATCGGTGGACTCGAAAGAGAGGAAAAGATCCGCGAAAGGGAAAAAGACAACGAAGCCAAGAGAGGAACACGAGGAGGAGAGTGAGAAAAAGCGAATGTCATTGCCGTAATCTTCGGACGTTGACTTCCTTCTGGCTCGTCCCTCCTTCCTCTTGCTCGCAAACCCCTTCCACCCGCCGCAAACCCTCTCTCCCCGCCCCATCCCCTGCTCCTTCGTTCTCTTTGTCCTGGCCTTCTCCCCTGCGCGTTCCTCCTCGCGATTCCTCTCCCTGCCTCTCGCTTCCTCCTTCCCCGCGCCTTCGCCTTTCCTCGCTCCCTCTCTCTCCCGCCCGCGCGTGTTTCGCCCCCTCCCTCGCCCCCCCCCCTTCACCGCCGTTTTTCTCGTTAACCGAGCCTCGGTACGCCGGCTCGTGAGTCTCAAATAGTTTCGTAACGATTCGCGCGTCAATGTTTCTCCCCTCCTCGAGTTGGAGGTTTTTTCCCCCCTCCCCCTTTTTTTCCTCTCTCTCCCTCTCTCTCTTTTTTTTTTTTTTTTTATAATAAACATCGAATCATCGGGGAAAAAATCGAGTAGTTACGAAGTATAGAGACGAAGTATAATGTCAGTTTTTTTTCTTTTTTTCTTTTTTTTTTTCGAAACACGAGGGGAACGACACGTTGGGACGAACGAGGAGGGAAGAACGAAGAGCGTGATGCGAATTTGAAACGAATTTGAGTTATACCGAGATGGGAATAGAATTGGTTGAAAATTGATCGAACGATTAACCCGTTCTCTCGGTTGAATTGGCTTTTAAAAGGAATTTTCGATCGTGGAATTAGACTGTGAATCGGTGTGTATCTTGGACCGAGATGTGTTGATATGGCACGTATACGTATCATGAGGTAGATTTCGGTTAAAGTAAATTCAATCCGTGACATCAGTTTTATCGCGTGTGTGTTCGAACGTCGAGGCGACATCTCTCTTCGTCAAGAGTGACGAAGTTAAAAATCGATGGAGAATTAATTTGCAAATGATCGTTTGATATCGTGTATTTCTAATGTAAATTTTATCTTAGAAAGGAATTTTTTTGGTAAGATAGCGAATCGATAATAGATAAATTCTTCGTAATTCTTAAAATTTATGCTAAATGGAATTATTTATTAAATTTTTCGTCGTTATATTCTTTAAGAATTATTTGTCCAGTAACGTTCTTGAATAGATTAATATCTGAAATTTGTAATCGATTCTAATTGAAAAGTGGATTCTTTCAATCGTAACACGTTGAGTGAAAAGATTGCGATAGGACGTCTTCGTAAAATAATAAATTCCATGTTTTTAATAACCGAAAGATATAACGATTGAAATCTATTAGAAACTTAGAATTCATTAAAATAAAAAAACAAACGAATTTATTAACTTTTCCTTAAATCATCAATTAAATAAATCACTTCGCTATTTATATCAAAATTAAAAAATTAAACTAGAATTTAATTATATCATATATTCGTATATTTAATGAGAAATTATTTTTAATTAGATGTTTTTGAACTATATTTTTATCACTACCATTAAATTAAACGCTTTTAATTTAACTTACGCTGCTTTTAATTCTTCTATTATAACGCTTCTTTATTAATGTAAATTAATGTAAATTTAAAAAGTGTTTGAATCGTTATTAATTTATCAAAATTTAAAACCATTTACATTGTTAACATTTTTGTTTAATTAATACACATTACGTATATATTTGTGTGACAGAGATAAAAAGAAAACTTGCTAAACTGTACATGTTATTATTATTATATTGTTAACGCAATTTTTTAAAAACTTTAATAGACGTGATTTATATCTGGCATGACGTAATACCACGAAACATAATTTCATATATAATTTCTATATTCTAAAAATAAATATAAAATTTTAAATTCCATCTGTCATTGCAAACATGCTTCAATGTAATAAAATCAATTTCTGGTATAAAAATACACAGAACAAATACTTCTATTTTTCAACCATTACAATTTACATTAAATTTTCCAATGATATACAAGAGCAATGATATCTAAAAATGTTTCATTTCCAAACAAATCGAAACCGATCATTCGTATTTTAGATATCGCATTTACATCGATTTTTACGAAATTTATTATATTTCCCTCTGATCAATATCCATTTATACGTCCATCCGCATCCACGAGATCAGCAATCGTCTCCGAAACGAAAGCAACGACATCTCACCGACCAACCGCTTAACACAAAATTACGACTCTGTTTCGCGGCCACCCGCCTACTCTCTACATTATATCCCAACAATCGGCTTTTTCCGTATTCCGTACGAAAGAGAAGCCGCAAAGAAGACGAAAATCACGGTCGAGCGCGGTTTACCAGGCTATGATTCAAAGTCTCGCGGTGTGTGCACCAGAGAGAGGCGTACGCGCCGCGGGATATGCATTACCCGCGGCATAATCCGCGGCGAATGATTTATAAATCGAGTGAATCACGATTTGGCACGAAGCAAAAACGGTAATCGCGAATTAACATTTGCATCGAAGGGTTGCCGATGCATGGTAAAGAGGAGTGGGGACGGTCGAGGAGTGGGGGGAAGGGCGAAGGGACGATGGACGGGAGAGGGATGGGAGGAGGGAGGAGGTCGCTCGCGCGCGCACACACGACGAAGCCCTTGTCCGACAAATC